GTTTACATCATATTCCCGCATTTATCAACAGGACTCGCATTTACATGTATGCATGTAACAATAATAGAATAAGAGATAGACTTTCAAATATATTGGCACCTCTGCCAAACCACGAAGTTCAAAATAATAATAAGAAAAACGAAATGAAAACAAGTGACTATCGACAAGCGCAAGAACGATAAAATCCATACTCACAACGTCATAAAAAACATTAAGAATAGATAAATTACCCGAAAATTTACGAGAAATAACCCACAGGCTTCCTTCGCGACAGAGCTAAATGGCTTAGATACAACAGGTCATCATCCCACCCGCCCGGGCTCCTCGCGCTTCGACCAGACTCAGCGAAGACTCCTCTGCTGCACCTGCTGACTCGGGCTGACACTATGCTGACGGCCGTGAGAAGACGTCAGCGTAGGCCCGTTCATGATATCAATGAGGAAATTGTTAATTCAGACACTATTATCTCAGCGCATGTTAATATGCAGATTAGCATTTACATTAGCGTGTGCTTACTGCGACGTGTGTCTGCGTCCACGGATCTTTATTCAAGTGTATCGAATATGTATGAAGCATATGGATCTTCGCCGATAACGATAAAAAAACACAGAAGGACAAACCAGAAAGAGACACAGTCAAAAACTGAGTCACAGACACAGACAAGACAGAAGGACAGAGACAAAGACAGACATAGACAAACGAACAGACACAAAGACAGACATAGACAAGCGAACATACAAAGATACAGAGAAACAGAATAGATACAGAAATAGACAAAGAACAGACAGACAGACACATACATAGACAAAGAACAGATAAACAGATAGACACAAAGACAGTTAAAGCAACCAGACGCGGGACACACACAAAGCACAGACAGCAAAACAGACAAAAAGAAGACAGAGAAGCAGCCAGCCAGCCAGCCAGACAGACAGACACAGCGCAGCATCACAATCACAGCTCTCGCAGGCCTTGCAATGCAGCGACACCCTAGCAGTGACAATCTCAATCAAAGGCGCTAAAACAGGCCGCTGCAGTTACTCTGGACAAACACACAGCTGCTCGGTGGGACTTCACGTGTTGCTCTTGTTATTGTTATTGCTTTTGATGGTGTTGTTGTTATTGTTGTTGCTGTTGCTACTGATGGTGTTGTTGTTATTGTTGTTGCTCTGTTGGTGCTTGTTGCTTTTTGATGGTGTTGTTGTTATTGTTGTTGCTGTTGCTACTGATGGTGCTGTTATTGCCGTTGTTGCTGTTGTTATCGTTGTTGCTTTTATATACTATATTTGTTGCTGTTGTTGCTGCTTCTGTAAATCGACTGCAATAGCTAATGTTTCCGTTTCTGTTTGCATATGTAATGTTCTTCTTTATTTTCTTATTTATTTTCTCCTCCTCCCTCTCTCCTCCCTCCCTCCTCCCCCCTCCTCCTCCTCCCTCCTCCTCCCTCCCTCCCTCCCTCCCTCCCTCCTCCCTCCTCCCTCCCTTCCTCTCTTTCCTTCTTCTCCCCTCCCCCTCCCCTCTCCCTCTCTGTCTCTCAACAAGGTAGCATCTGTTGCTGACTGAAAGACAACTCAGCAACGGCTCTCCAGTGTTCCCTCCCTTCCCTCTCTTCATTAATCTCTCTCTCTCTCTCTCTCTCTCTCTCTCTCTCTCTCTCTCTCTCTCTCTCTCTCTCTCTCTCTCTCTCTCTCTCTCTCTCCTCTCTCTCTCTCTCTCTGTCTGTCGTTCTCTCTCTTTATGAAAACAAAATGCCGACATTATAGACATCACACACATAGTGAAACCCCCTCTCCCCTCACCCCTAAAAGCGAGAGAGATGGAGAGGAGGGAGGCAGGAAGGGAGGGGGTGTGAGAGGGGGAGGGGGAGGGAGAGGAGAAAACGCCTCTTCCCATTCTTCCCTTTCACCTTACCGACTCCCTCTCATTTACTTTCCCTTTCTGTACCCCCTACCCCTTCCCACCCCTTCCCCAACCCCTCCCTTTTTCTTTTCCTTCCCCTCCCGTTCCATCTCCCTTCTCCACCCCCTTCCTCTCCACCCCCCCTTCCCCCTCCCCCCCCCTCCCCCTTCCCCTTCTCCACCTCCCCTTCTCCTTCCACCTCCCTTCTTCTCCTCCTTCCCCCCTTCCCCCCCCTTTTCCATCCCCCCCCCCCCCCCCCACATGACCCAAGCACTCGACCAACGACGGCCTCATCACTATGCGGTTACTCCCACAGCCATAACGGCGAGGAGGCGCTTGGTCGCGGGGTCTTGGCGACGCTCGCGCAACGCCCATGCAATCGCAAGAGAGGCTTCTTTAATTCTGATTAGCTCCGCCGAGGGAGGGTATGGGTTTGGTCGCGTTAGTTCGTTTGGTTTGTTAGCTGGAGGAATTAAAAAGTTATGACTATATTTTTATGAAAAAAATACTAGGTGTGTTTTGGTTTGTTTGTTGGTTGGTTAGCTGGAGGATTCAAAAAGTTATGACTATATTTTTTATGAAAAAAATACTAGAGGTGTGTTCGTTTGGTTTGTTGGTTGGTTGGTTAGCTGGAGGAATCAAGAAGTTATGACTATATTTTTTATGAAAAAAAAAAAAAAATACTAGAGGTGCGTCTTTGTCTAAGATTCCTTCTCTTTTCTGTATAGTCTTTGCAAAGGAGGTTATGTTTACGGACGTCACCTGTGAACTTGAAAAAAGGTGGTTTTAATGCAATTCTTTAAGTGTGAATATTTTTACTGCATCAGTGACCTTATTGCCTTGGCGGAGGTATGCGCTGAGTGCTTCTAGTTGTAATTGTTTTTCTTTTTCTTTCTTTTTTTGTTTTTGGTGTTTATGGCGTTTTTTATGTCCGACTCAACATCCTTGTATTTCAAATGATTAGCGTGACCGATATGGGCATTGTGAAATAATTATCATTATCAATAAGTCTCTCTCTTTCTTCATTCCTTTCTTTTTTTTTTTTTCGCTTTCCATGTTGATTTTCTTTCTTTTTTTCATTCGTCTCTCTTATCATAATTTGGAGTGGGACTAAACAGTAGTGTTGACGCTCATACAACGGCCATCATATCCGTAATGATGATGATTATTATGCCAATGTCATCATCATCACCATCCGCATCCTACGCACCTTCTCCTCCCTCCCCCTCCCCTCCCCCCCTCCCCTCCCCCAACATCCTTCTTAACCCTAACCAACCCTTTCATATCCCCACTCTACCCCCTCCCTACCTCCACCCTCTTCTAGCTCCTCCCCACGTACCCCAATGCCCCCCAGCCCCCCCCTCCTCCTCACACCCCAACCCCACCCACCCCAAGAAAAAAGAAAAAAAAAACGCATGTATTTGGCATGACAGCTCAATTGACAGTCTTCCAGGGGTGTCATAAGCAGCTCAGGTGTCATGACAAGACGTCCGGATGCGAGGTCCCGGATGTAGAGGGGAGACAAGGTGATGTATTGATAAGGGATCAATATTTCAGTGCGAGGAAAAGGGGGGGGGGTTAATGATGGATGTGCTAATGGTGGGGAGGGGGGGGAGGGGGGGTGGAGGGGGAGGGGGGGGGGGGGAGAGGGGAGGTGGAGGTGGAGAAGGAGGGAGGTAGATTAGGAAGGAGAGGAAGAGAAGGAGGAGGGGAGGTGGAGGAGGAGGAGGGAGAGGCGGGTGGAGGGGGAGGGGGAGGGGGATGGGGAGGAGAGGAGGAGGAGGAAGAAGAAGAAGAAAAAAAGAGAAGGAGGAGGAAAAGACCCTGAGAAAAACGACGAAACAGAAAAAAAATAGAAAAGGAAATACGACAAAAAATCCAGAAATAAAAAGAAAACAGGAACCAAACAATACGACGAAAAAATAAAAACAATAATAGAGCAAAACGCAGAAGAAGACGCAAGACTTGTTGCTCAATCACGTTGCAAGCCAAAGAGGGATAATTATCTCTTCTTAATTAATTCGGTTCTGCGGCATTGTGCGCTCAGGGGAATTAGCGGCGATGATGATAATGATGATGGTGATGATGATGGATGGTGATGGTGAGATGATGATGGTGGTGGTGATAGTGATGGTGATGATGGTGGTGATGATGATGGTGGTGGTGATGTGATGGTGATGATGGTGATAGTGATGATGATGGTGGTGGTGGTGTGGTGGTGGTGATGGTGGTGGTGGTGGTGGTGGTGATGGTGGTGGTGGTGGTGTGTGGTGGTGGTGGTGGTGATGATGTGGTGGTGGTGGTGTGGTGGTGATGGTGGTGGTGGTGGTGGTGGTGATGATGGTGATGAATGATGATGATGATGATGATTGATGATGATGATGATGATGATGATTGATGATTTGGCACCGTCACTATCACCGGTATTGTTACTTCCTCATCATAACTATCAATTTTCAGTATGACTATTATTACTGTATTACTGATTATCATCATTACTTTTATAACCATCACCATCATCACTGTTACCATATTACCATATCACAATCAACATCAACACCACAGTCATAATTACTCCCATCACCAATCCAACATCTCAAACTCACTCTACACCCCCTCCCCCTCCCCCCTCCCTCCTACCCCAATCCCCTCGCAAAAAAATACACACCGAATAAAAAACAAAAGCAAATCCAAAATCTAAAAATAGCCCGCGCCGCCCGCCCGCCCGCCCCCATCACCAATGCAACATCTCATCTCACTCTACACCCCTACCCCCCTCCCCCTCACCAAAAAACAAAACACCGAATAAAAAAAAAAAAGCAAATCCAAAATCTAAAAATAACCCGCCCGCCCCCCCATCACCAATGCAACATCTCAATCTGACTCTACACCCCTCCCCCTCCCCCCTCCCTCACCAAAAATACAAACACCGAAAAAAAAAAAAAAAAAAAAAAAAAAAAAGCAATCCAAAATCTAAAATAGCTCGCCCGCCCATCCCGCCCTTCCCGCCCCCGAAATTCGACGGCCGCCCCAACGCCCCCCGGAGGCAGAGGATCCAGGCTCTGTGTTGCGTGCAATTGCGGCTCAATGCAACCACCTACATACGACGCAGACTGGACCTTGCGAGGCTGTCGAGATCTTGACTAATAGAGGCGACGCAGCCCGAATCTGCAATTGCAAGTGAGTAACCGCAAGAGGAACTTAATTTATGTAAGGGTACACATATACGCACATAAGCCCTCTGGTGGATAATGGGTGAGTGGCTGTACATGCGCACGCAATGATATAAACAAATACAGTTGTTGTTTTTTGCGTGTGTGTTTGTTTTTATGTTTATCGTTATTTTGTTTGTTTTCTTTGTCTTTTCTTTCTCTTTCTTGTCTGTGTCGAAGCAAGGAAGAGAATGCGGGGAATGAGGAAGATAGAGAGAAAGAAAAACTGAAGATTGGGGGAGGTAGGAGAAGGGGGAGGGGTCGCGTTCCAAGAAGGAGGAGGCAGAACCAAGAGAAGAGACAGAAAGAAAGAAAAAGAACCCAAAGAGGGAGGGAGAGGGGAAAGAGAGGGAGGGGGGAGGGAAAAGAGGGGAAGAGGGAAGGGAGAGGGAGGAGGGGAAAGGAGAGGGGAGAGGGAAGAGGGGAAAGGGAGAGGGAAGGAGGGGGAAAGGGAGAGGGGGGAGGGGAAGGAGGGGAAAGGGGAGGGAGGGCAGAGGGGGGGGGGGCGTTCCCAGGGTGTACGGCCACCAAGTACCTCCGCGTCCCCGCTTGTCAGGATAAAATATGGAGCTTTCATCTGGTACTTTTTATTATCATAAATGGGGTGCGAGGGGCAATTGCGATGCAGGAATGGGGGGGGAGGGGGGAAAGAGGGAGGGAGGGGAGAGAGCGGGTGGAGGGGGAAGGAGAAAGAGTGGCTGGAGGGGAGGGGGAGGGATGGGGAGGGAGGAAGGGGAGAGAGGCGGGGGAGGGGGGAGGGAAGAGAAAGGCAGCGGAAAGAGTGGGGGACTGAAAAGAGGAAGGGGAGAGGGGAAGGGGAAGTAGGGATAGGACAGAGAGAAGGAGGGAAGAAAGGGGTAGGGGGAGGTTTAAAGGAGGAGGAGGACAGGAAGAGAGGGAGGGAAGGAGGGAGATGGGAGAGGGGAAGAAGAAGGTGGAGACTGAAAGGATTGGGAAGAAAGTAAAAAGAGATAAAAGAAGATGGAAAAGGAGGAAGAGGGGAATAAGAGAGGGATGGGGAAACGAAGGAAGAGAAGTGGGAGAGAGAGAAGAATTAAAAGGAAAAGAAAGAAAAGAGGAGAAACAAGGAAGGAAGGAGAATTATATAATAAAAAAAGAACAAATACTGTATCATAAAAAAAACAAGAAAAGGAACTGAGAAATGTGATAAAAATGAAAAAATATAAAGGCAAGGAGTAAAAAGAAAGGAAGAGAGAAAGAAAAAGAAAAAAAATCAAGAACAAGAATAAGAACGAAGGCGGAAGGAGGGAATAAGAAAACAAAGAAAACAGAGAGGAGAGAATGAGAAAATGAGCGTTAGGAAGCGACGACAGACGAAGTATTTTGGAAAAAGAGAAGAGAAAACGAGAGAGGAGACCAAAAATAAAATGCGAAAGAGAGGGGAAAGGAGGAGATAATAAGGAGGTGGAGGTTCTTCGCATCAAATGAGGAGGACAGAAGCATGCAAGGATAATGATGCAAGAAATGGTGATGACTGTGATGATGATGATGGTGATGACAAAACAATAATCATACGTATAAATGATAATACAGATGATAGTAATGATTATCATAATCATCATTACTAGAGTTGTAATAGAAAATATTAAAAATCATCAGAATATATATAGTTATATTATCATAAACAATTATACAGTTAATAATATAGAGACAAATAATAACAAATAAAGAAGGATCAGACTCAGGAAGAAAGACAGAGACAACAAGATAAAGAGAGAGAGGAAGAGAAAAATAAATAAACGCAATGAGAGCGCAGATTGAGAGCAGGGGATAGCGGGGAAGGGGGGGCGAAGAGGGGGAGGGGATCAGAAGAAGGTCAGAAGAAGGGAGATGAGGAGGAGAAGGAGGATGGAATTGGGAAGTAGGGGGAGAACAGGGAAGAAGGAGGAGGAGAGGGAGAGGAGAGAAGTGGAGGGAGAGAAAAGAGGAAGAGAGGAGGAGAATGAGGGATAGAGAAAAAGAAGAGGGGAAAGCGGAAGAAGGAATGGGAGAGGGGGAAGGTGGGCGAAGGAGAGAGGAGAGAGACAGGGGGTGGGAGGGGGGGAGGGGAGAGCTGAGGGTATGGCGCCAGTATTAACACCTCCCATTACTCACACCTTTCACTAAGGACAGCCACACATACTCGCAGTAACACATTACCTACATACCTATTTTGCTCACCCCCTCCCCCTCCCCGCCCACCGTTTCTCTCTGCTTCCCTCCTCCCCTATCACCCCCCGCCCCTTTCTTGTACATCTCCCTGCTTGTTCACAGAGTTTTCTATCTATTTCTTCTACCCTATTTTATTGTATTTTATTATTCTATTCGCATCTCTAAATCGTGATATAAAGTAACACTAATGTACAAAATCATATTAATAATAATAATCAATAATAATAATAATAATAATAGTACCACTACTACTACCATAACAAAAACAATACCAACACCAGCTTTTAAAACAACAAGACTAACAAAAAACAAGACAACGAGCATAAACAGAGCCAACAAGACCATTAACAAGGACACGACCGAACCCAAATCCTAACTTAACTTGGAAAAAAAAAGAAAAAAAAACATTTGTAAACACCCCCCCCCCAAATCCCTACAGACAGACAATTTGTATACCTGCCATAAAGTGATAAGTTCTCGACCTCCGAAAATCACGTTTGGAACAAGTTTTTTGCAAGTCCGAGCGAGTCATGATTCATGGTTTCGGACTCTTTGCACGACGCGACGAGATGCGCGAATCTACGTGTTATTTTCATGAGCAGTCTTGCTGTTTGTTGTCGTTGTTGTTTTTATTATAATCATTGTCATTGCCGTTAGTACTATTATAATAAGTATTATTACTACTATCATCATCATTATGATCATTATCATTATCATCCTTATTATCATTACTATTATCATTAATGCTTTTGCTTTGTCGTTGCTGTTATTATTATCATTGTTGTTGTTCTTGTTGTTAATCCCACTATTGCTAGCATTATTATCGTATTATTATCATTATCATTATTATTTTTATTGTCATTATCATCATTATTATCATTATTATCTTTATTGTCATTATCATTATCATAATCATCATCAGTAGCATCATTATTATCATTAATATTATTATTATCATCATAATCCCCACCAAAATAACCACCATTAACACGACACTTCGCATCCCCATAAACCTCGCTCAACTCAAAAACAAAAATAATAATAATAATAATAATAATAAAAAAAAGTCACGCACGTCCACGGTAACTTGGTGGTCACGTGGTCTGCTTGCGTGACGGCGGCCGTAACGGTGTCGTAACAGCGGCGACGGTAACGGTTGTCACGGGGCTAATAGCGTAGTAATGTAATGTAATGTGCGTCGGTCGTCGTTGTAATGAGGGAGTGCGGATGGGAACGTGTGCGTTTGCGTGTGAGCGGTGTGTGCGTTTGCTGAGTGTTTGTGTGTTTGTGATGTGTGTGTGTGTGTACGTGTGTGTGTTGTGAGTGTTTGTGTGATGTGTGTGTGTGTGTGTGTGTTGTGTGTGTGTGTGTGTGTGTGTGTGTGTGTGTGTGTGTGTGTGTGTTGTGTGTGTGTGTGTGTGTGTGTGTGTGTGTGTGTGTGTGTGTGTGTTTTTGTGCGTGAGTGGGTGTTTTTTGTGTGTGCCTGTGTATGAGTGGGTATGAATGGTTTTTTGTGTTTTTTTTTGTTTGTGTGTATATGGGTGCGTATGGTTGTTTTATTTATTGTTTGTTTGTTTATCTGTGTGTGTGTTCGTGTTTGCTCTTTCTGAATCATCTCGCAATTCATTCTCTTCACTCCGCACACCTTTCTCTTTCTTTCTCTTTCTCTTTCCTTCTCTCTCTCTCTCCCTCCCTTCTCTCTCTCCCTCCCTCCCTCTCTCTCCCTCCTTTCTCTCTCTCTCTCTCTCTCTCCTTCTCTCTTCTCTCTCCTCTTTTCTCTCTCTCTCTCTCCTTCTCTCTGTCCTCTCTCCCTCCTTCATCTCTCTCCCCATTTCCTCCCTCCCCCCCCTCCCAGCGACCCCCTTTCCCGCTTCGAGGCGAAGTTCGAAGCGCCGTCTCGAACCGAAATGAGTCACGTGACAACTGCAGAGACGAACGGTGCCAAAAGAATAGAAAAAAAAGAGAGAGAGAAAAAGAAGAGAGAGAGAGAGAGAGAGAGAGACGGCAAAAAGGGAGGAATGTTGTTCATTTACCCCACTTCCCTTCTTCATTTTTTTTCTTCTTTTCTTTTTCTTAACCTTAGAGGGAGGGGGGAGGTAGAGGGGATGGCAATGCAGGATAAATTAAGGAAAGGGAGGGAGGAGAAATGGGGTGGAGGAGGGGGGAGGGAAGGGTGTCAATTGAGGCTAATGAGAAGGGGTAGGGGGGAGAGATGGGAAAGGGGTGGTCTTAAATGGGGGCAGTGGGTAGGGGAGGGAAGAGGGAGGGAATGGGAGAAGATGTAAAAAACGGAGTAAAATGAGAGAAGGGGGGGGAGAGAAAGAATAGAGTGTGATGGAACGAGTTAAGGGGACGCTAAAACAGGGGCAGGGAAAAAGGAAATGGTAATGTTTGGAGTAGTGGTAAGCGAGAGGGGGAAGAGGAAGGCGCACCTGATATTAAAACAAAGGAAGAGGGAGAATAGGGGAAGGATGTTGAGGAGGGAGATGTGAAGCAGAATGGAGGAGGAGGAGGGGAGAATTGGAGGGAAGAAAGGAGTATGGTGAAGCGAGGAGGGAGGAACGTGAAGCCAAGTGAGAGGAAGAGAACAGGAGAGAGGCGAGACGTTGAAGCAAGGAGAAAAGGAAGGGAAAGGGAGGAGGAGGAGGGGGATGTGAAACAAGGAGGGGGAAGAATGGAGGAGGGAGACCCTTGAAGCAAGGGAGGAAGAGAAGTATGAGGAAGGGAGCCGTAAACCAAGGAGAAAGGAAGGGAATAGAGGATGGAGGAGGAGGCGCGACCTGAAGCAAGTGAGATAAGAAAGAACAGGAGGAGCGAGACGTGAAGCAAGGGGAGATGGAAGGGGAAAGTGGAGTTGGGAGGAGGAGGAGGAAGAGGAGGAGAGGAGAGGAGACGTATAGACAAGGAGAAAGGAAGAGAACAGGGAGGAGCGAGACGTTAAGAAGCTAGAGGAGGGGAGAGAAATAGAAGGAGGCGATGCCGGAATTTAGAAACCAAGGAGAGAGATAATAGGGAAAGGGAAAAGAGGAGGGGGAGGGAGAGGAGGAGGAGGAGGGAGAGTGAAGCAAGGAGAAAGGAAGATGAACAGGAGGGAGGTGAGAGACGTGAAGCAAGGAGAGGAAGGAGGAGGAGGCGAGACGTGAAGCAAGGAGAAAGGAAGGGAAAGAGGAGGGGGAGGAGAGGAGGAGGAGGGGAGACGTGAACAAGGAGGAAGGAAGACAGGAGGAGGGAGACGTGAAGCAAGGAGAGGAAGAGCAGAGGAGGCGAGACGTGAAGCAAGGAGAAAGGAAGGGAAAGAGGAGGAGGAGGAGGAAGAGGAAGGAGAGAGGCGAACGATGAAGCAAGGAGAAAGGAGGAGAAGAGGAGGAGTGAGACGTGAAGCAAGGAGAGGAGAGAAAACAGGAG